CTCTGTTACTGCGCTGTGTCACCGCGCCCTCAGCCCTTGGAACGACCCCTCGTTCCTACAGACCTGGGTGTCTCTAGAACAGGCGTCCAGTCTTGTTGTCGTTTCAGCAGACACTTCCAACACGGGCTGGGGGGCTGTGCGTTGCGGGCATGCGGCTGCGGACCTGTGGAAAGGTACCCAGTTGCATTGGCATATCGCCTGGAGCTGTTGGCAGTGTTCCTCGCTCTCCACCGTTTTTTTCCGGTGCTGGAGCGGCAACACGTGCTGGTCAGGACGGACAGTACGGCGGCGGTGGCGTATATCAGCCGTATAGGGGGTATGCGCTCTCGCCGCATGTCTCAGCTCGCCCGCCGTCTGCTCCTCTGGAGTCATCCGCGGCTGAAATCGCTGCACACCATTCATATTAAGGCAAGCTCAACCGTGCAGCCGATGCGCTCTCACGGCAGCCTTGCGTCCTGGAGAATGGAGACTCCACCCCGAGTCTGTTCAGCTGATATGGGCGCGATTCGGGGAAGCCCAGATCGATCTGTTGCTTCCCCCGAGATCGCTCATTGCTAGTTGTTCTTTCCCTGACCGAGTGCTCTCGGCACGGATGCACTGGCTTACAGCTGGCCTCGGTGCACGCGCAAATACGCGTTTCCCCCAGTGAGCCTGCTCGCGCAGTTACTGTGCAAGGTCAGGAAGAGGACGAGGAACAGGTTGCTGGTTGCGCCCCTCTGGCTCAACCGGACCTGGATGTCAGAGCTCTCCCTCGCGATAGCCCTCCCCTGGCAGTCCCTTCGAGAGAGCACCTACTCTCTCAGGGACAGGGCACCACCTGGCACCCTCGCCGATCTTTGAAGAGATTTTAGACGCGAGGAAGACTTAGGTAACCTCCGATTGCGGTGGCTAATACCGTCACTCGGGCTAGAGCCCCCTCCCCGAGCGCGCCTATGCCCTGACGTGGAGTCTATTCACTGAATGGTGTGTCTCTCGCTGAGAAGACCCCCGTAATTTGCCAGATCAGCGTTGTGCTTTCTTTACGCCGAGAGAAGCTGGAGAGCAGGCTGTCGCCCTCCACACTCAAGGTTACGTGGCTGCCATCTCCGCTCTCATAACGCGGTGGCTGGCAGCACCGTGGGAACGCATAACCTCATCATCCGGTTCCTCAGGGGCGCTAAGCGAATTAATCCATCCCGCCCCCTCTCATGCCCTCTTAGGATCTCGCCCTCGCTACACAAGCCGCGTCAGATCCCTTCGATCCTCGACTCAGTATCTTTCTGTCCCTGAAGACAGCTCTGCTGGTCGCGTTGATATCGATTAGAGGGTCGGGGACCCGGAGGCATTTTTCGGTCAGTGACTCGTGCCTGTAATTGGGCTGGCTTCTCTCACGTCCTGAGACCCCGCCCGCGATATGTGCCCAAGGTTCCTACCACTCCGTTTTAATACGAGGTAGTGAGCCTGCAAGCGCTGCCCTCGGAGGAGGCAGACCCAGCCCTTCTTTATTGTCCAGTTCGCGTTTTGCGTATTATCCGGACCGCACTCAGAGTTTAGATCATCTGAGCAGTTCTTCGTCTGTTATAACGGTCGGCAGCAGGGAAGTGCCGTACCGAAATAAGTTCCCACTAGATTGTGGATGCCTTTCTTTCACTATCAGAGCCGAGATGAGCCGCGTCCCCCGAGAGCACGTGCGCACTCCACTCGGAGTTTCGCATCCTCTCGAGCGCGCGCACGCGGCGCCCCTCTAACAGACTTCTGTAGAGCTGCGGGCTGGGTGACACCCAACACATTTGCAAGGTTTTACAATCTGCGAGTGGAGCCGGTTTCCTCAAGGGTATTAGGTAACCCTTGGTGATTGAGGAAACAATTCGGTAGGGTGTTGAAACACGCTTGCTGCGCCATTTTCCCTAACACGGAGATACGTGCGCCTTTTTATCTGTCAGTAAAGTTCCCCGTCAGGTGAGCCCTGCAGATTCCTCCGTGGCCCCCAGCACTGACTCAGCGGAGGAGTCACTTGCTGGCCCACTACGTTGTAGGTCTGCCCGCTGGTCAGCCCGCGTTTTGGGTAAAGGTGCCTGCTATGCGTGATCCCCACTAGTCGATCCCATATGCTTATTCCGCCACGGTTAAGTCCCCCCCCTGGGCGGACCCGTGTCTTCCCTCCCCGCTAACCACTCTTTTGCTATGCGTACTCCCCCTTTTTAGGGCTAGTCCATATGTAAATTCTGCCATCTATCCCCCCTCGGGTAACGGATGGCCTCCGCAGCGTCCTCCCTATCGGGATTGCACGCTTCCCAACGTACTGTCGTATTTCCTAGAATTATCTAGATGCTCACGACTTCCCAAAAAATTATCTAAATCCGTAAAACTTCTGTTGAAGTAGGATAAATTAGGGCCAGGGACACGTTGGAGGACCGCGCCCCCCATGATGCGGGTGCGTCACGCTTGCTTGACTATCTCCTCATCGGGGGTGTTGGTAAGGTGCAGTCATTATGGCGCTTTCAATGGGCTCCCAATGCGTGGATTTTACAAATCAAATCCACTTATAGTGCTGAAGTTCCCCCCGAAGGGGAACGTTCGAGGTTACTAAAGTAACCCTTCGTTCCCCGAGGAGGGGAACGGAAGCACTATACTCCGTCGCCATAATGACTGTCCCTTAGCTGTTGAAAGTCTCTTCAGCTTAAAAAGGATAGCGTCTGCTGGCGCCAGGTGAGCTTATATACTCAGTTGATTGCTTATGCCGCTCACCTGCGCAGGCTTGCGCTGCCAATTCATTCTTAATTGGCCCGTTCAATACTCTTTCAGACGAGTAGCTTCTGAACCGAACCTCCCAATGCGTGGATTTTACAAATCAAATCCACTTATAGTGCTTCCGTTCCCCTCCTCGGGGAACGAAGGGTTACTTTAGTAACCTCGAACGTTTCTGCATGTCTAGGTTAATAATGACGGCGCCATTTTTTTCAAAGTGAATCAAATTATTGGTGGAGACATTTCAATATCTGGCGGATATTGGTGGGGACGGTGTATTTTTATAATTTCTTCCTTTTTGGCTTAGTCCCTTTTATTAATCTGGGGTCGAACAGCGGAATGAAACACCAACTTATCCATCTTATGTTTTACGAAGCGGACGCCCTTCCAGCTGCAACGCATCACTGGGAAACACATACACACTCATTCACACACACATACACTATGGACAACTTAGCCTACCCAATTCACCTGCACCGCATGTATTTGGACTGTGCATGGGGAAACCGGAGCACCCGGAGGAAACCCACGCAACCTTCTTGCTGTGAGGCGACAGCACTACCTACTGCGCCACTGCATCCCCACAGTGTATTATGTAATATATAATATTATGGCAACGCAATTAAGGTAAATTTCAGGAATTTTGTCAATTAATGACCTTTTTTTCTGCAGTATGTACCACCCTGATAAATAATAATAATATGAAATATCAAAAATGGAGATATGGCATGTCTTGTCATTGACATGCATACACACAGAACTGAAGGAATATACTATCTATGTATTTACTATGAATACATGTATATGAATGTACTTAAACTACTGAATTTTTAGGATTGGTTATTAGGTGATCTGTTAAGCTGTCTAAGTGGCTTTGTTTCTCTTAATTATACAATTATTTATATTATATTTTATATTATATATTATATTTATTTTAATGTATGTTTATTTTAATATAGCTTTAATTGTGATTGATTTTTGTAATTAGTTTTAATTAAAAATATGAGAAAAACCATCATGTCAATGACACTGATGTATTCTTTAAAAATAGTTAAACTGAAAACTAAAAAATGTTAAACTAAAGTTTAACTAAAGTTAACTAAATCAAAGTTTTACTTAAACTAAAAACTATACTACTAAAAGACCTTTTAAGACCTTCTAAGTTAAAACAGTTTGAATAATCGTATTTATGAAATCTAAAAAGATATTATTAAAATATCACATGCTTTAAACCAAGTTATTTTAGTCATATTGATCAATTTTAAACAGTGATAGTTTTAATTAATATAATGATTTTTTTTAGACTTTCCATTTTCATTTTAAATTTTTTCTCTGAACTGACAAAACAGTCTCTTCTTCCTCATCATCACTGCTTTGTATAAAGTACTCTTTCTTTGCTCTTACTGATTAGAGCTTCTATTTCAAGCAAGTAAATCCTGGCTGACAAGTAAAGGATTGTATAACAGTATCTGCGCACTGTAGGGTAGCTTCACTTTCAATGTGCACAGAGACTGACCAGGTCAAAACCCCAGACTGAGTCATTAACAGCATGGAGACAGTTCTTAGTATATCTGACACTCACTGTCAACACTGTATTCAGCTGGTGTGCATTGCTTCTGATCGCTGGGACTCTTGCCCGGCAGTCTTTTAGCACATAGTTGCCTTGTTGGTGAATACACTGATGCTTTTTTTCTTGTTTACGCCACCTCATCTCATAACAGGTCTTCAGAGACCAACAGAAAGAGCTGTGTGCTTTTATATCCACGTTGAAATGTATTAAATGCTTTAGGAAATAAATTTACAGCAGACATACATATAAATGTACTATTGCAAATGTTTGTTATTTTTGTAAATGTAAATCTTTATGAAAATGTACTTTTAACTGACAAAGATGGGTCCGGAGATTTTTTAATAAAACTAAAATAATATGTTTGTGTTGAAGTTTACATACATTGTGCACAAATGTAAAAAAAAAAAAATGTTTACAGATAAATAGATTGAGCACATTTTTAATGAAAATACAATTTAAATGTTTGCACTACAATGTTTTAAAAATTAGTTTGGTATACATTTTATGGTAAAGGTTAGTGGAAATTTTCCAGCAATTGCTTAACTTAGTGATAAATGTTTTGACACCAAATTTATATAATAATATAATGTAATTTACATAAAATACACTTTGATGTAAATTCATCAGCCACCCATAAAATGAGCCAAAATCCCATGCAGTAATGAAATCAACATAAAATCAGATACATTTTTGTCACACTTACTTTCTTCTGCGATTAGTTTCCAGAGAAAGCTTTCGAGCCCGAGCCCGACAGTACCTCTGCTCCTGTAACAGCACTTCCCTTTCATCTTCAGTTTCTCCATATACACCTGATCTGATGCTAATGTGATGCAAAGTTAAGGAAGGTACTTATATATATATATATATATATATATATATATATATATATATATATATATATATATATATATATATATATATATAATGTGTGCTTTGTTTGTTTAGTGTTAGTCATAAAAAAAATCTGTACAAATAATCAACTAAGCCAATTGTTTTGCTACAGTAAATTACAGCTGAATAGACTACAATATCCACATATAATTCATACACAAAAAAGGATACGAGTAATAAAGTGTGTCCTCCATGACTGACATCCCAAATATCAGGTCTCCACACAACGAGTATCTCATCCATATAGCCAAAACTGTATCTTATCGCGCAATAACATAGCTGGAACAAAAGGTTTCAAAAGGAAAATACTGAAGAATGACAACGGTGGAACTACCTCTGACTTTATGACGTCCTTTTGGTATGATACTTAATTTATCCAAACCGAATGCGTGTTATCTTGTCATTGTGTTAAATTATATCAGGTTAAGGTAACGTTAACCCTTCATCGCCATTCTCTACAGGTGAAAGAGTTACGCCATGTCAGTAACCAGTGACGCGCTTCCTTGACAACAGACACAAACTCACGGTGGAGGCGCGGTCACGTCACGTCAGTCAGAAGGGATTGATCCTCCTCAATCTCAGCGGATTTAATACACTGCTGCTCCCTGCTGGATCATTTGAATACTCAACAGGTTACTTTCTTGTAGCGACACATACATTTTTCATTCTTGGAATGTCTACGTGAGCAGTCTGATGTCAGTTGTTAATTTCTCAGTTTACCGGTTTCGGTCAGTTATTCTACAGGTTAATATTGTGAATAAGTTACTTGCATCGTGGCGCACTTCCTAACCACGAGGTCCTAATATTTCACCTGCACCTGCCTTGAAAAAAAGATACACTTTTCCCATGTAAGTAGCCTACACAAAAAGAGGTAATGTTAACAACTGAACACCCATACAGCCAAATATACCAATATATAGCCTACCACCAGGATGAGTTGGAGTAGGCCTACACAAACACTCGGTCTTCAAATAATGTGTTGTCTATATGTTGAAAAATGTAAGCAATATACAGACCCATAGCCAGCCTGGTGAAAGAGGGGGTTATTTTTTTCTCCAAAAGTAGACATTTTTTGCAGTTGTACTCTTTATTTTCTATTTAATTATGTAATTTAATTACTGCATTATAGTGACATTTTAAGCACTATTTAGCTGAATTAGCTTGTCGGATGGTCATCATAAATGCACTTTTTGATATATCAAAAACATTTCCTAAAGATTTTATAATAAATAAATGTGAAATAATACTTATTTTTAAAATACATATTAATTACATCATATATCATTAGAAAAATAATAAGAATCTGTTAAAGTTTTAAATTAAAAACTGTAGTCTATTGTCATTTATCAGGCAACTAACAAACTGGCCAGCACACTCAGCTGTTCTCAGTCAGAATTTGGCCCTTTGAATAAAAAAATATATATATTAAAACATGATAATATAATGTAAAGATTCACCATTGTTCTAGCCAAACTAGTATTCAATTCAGTTTCAATATGGGCTGCTTTTGGTGCAACTTGCTCATCTTTTGTTTCAAGAATAAAGTTTCACAACAACTCTGCAGTGAAACAAGACTTCTTTTGCGTCAAATTGTAAGAATAAAATATATGTTAGCAATGGCCAAAACGGATTAGCTAAAGTCACACCAAAGCGTCAGCCAATTCCGCTTAGTCTTTAAACCTTTTTTTAATGGGTTATTATCAATATTTATGATGGCATAGCAGTCAAAATAGGACAAATGAGCTCATGTATGGGGCAAATTCTGGACATTTGTCAGTGAGGTGTGGGTCTTCCGAACCACCCGAACCCCCCTGGCTTCAGGCCTGTTATATTATCCCTTTAGGGGTCAGTAGATTTGACCCCTTTGGCATTTTTATTATAAAATAAATAAATAAATAAATAAACAAACAAACAAACAAACAAACAAACGAATCAATAAATAAATAAATAAATAAATAAATAAATAAATAAATAAATAAATAAATAAAATACTTTATGACCTATTAAGCTATATCCAACCACCAGGGGGTGATCAAAATATTTTGTGCTAATCATACTAAATCATACAATCATGAAAAAATTTCGCTTAATCATTCAGATGAATCAGTCAAATGCTTATAATGAATTAAAATACCCTGAAAAGCACTGAATTAGTCATTGTTGAGTGGAGAAAAAACTCACAATTGCAAGAAAATGTAACATTTCTGAGAAAAAAAAAGAAAATGGCAAGAAGGTATATAAATGCACACAAGGTTTGATATTTACACAAACAGGTGCAACAGATTTATAAAAAAAAACGAAAACAATAATAAAAAAACAATTTATTATAAAAATGTGGCATTATTATAATTACAGCAGTTTCCCCTAAAATTTCCGCCCATCTGTCCCTCATGATGTAGTCTTTATTTGAAGGTCTTTCACACATTAACTGCTTTAAATCACTTAACTGAAGTTGTGAATGGCGGGTCTTCCCAGGGTTGATCCTGTCTGTCACAGCCGCTGCAAAGTGTGAATTGAAGTGAAGCTGCTGGGTTAGAGATGTTAGAGTGTGAATGTAAGTAGCTGACAAGCCGTGTCGACCCGTTCAGGTATGTTTGTTCCAGCATGACATAGACTCTTTTGAACCACCTCCTCTCTCGCTGTCTAGGATCTCTACATGACTGTCCTCCTGTGACTGACCCTCCTGACTGTGAGATGCATCAGTGTGCAGCAGAATCTGCTCCTGTGCTGTGCCATCGGCAGCTTTAAATTCACACTTGACATGTGAAGATGAAAAAAACGGTGAGTGAAAATGCACAGTTCACACATGCAAAAAATTAAAAATAAATAAAATAAAAAATAAAATAAAATATAAGATAATTATTTTAATGGATAAGTGAGTGAGTGAATACATTTAAATTTGTGCTGATGGATCATGATTAATCGCATTCAAAATAAAAATACACAATTATATATATATATATATATATATATATATATATATATATATATATATATATATATATATATATATACAGTTGAAGTCAGAATTATTAGCCCCCCTGAATTATTAGCACCCTTGTTTATTTTTTCCTAATTACCGTTTAACAGAGAGCTGATTTTTTTCAACACATTTCTAAACATTATATTTTTAATAACTCATTTCTAATAACTGATTTATTTTATCTTTGCCATGATGACAGGAAATAATATTTTACTAGATATTTTCAAGAGCTTCTATACAGCTTAAAGTGACATGTAAAGGCTTAACTAAGTTAATTAGGTTAACTAGGCAGGTTAGGGTGATTAGGCAAGTTATTGTATAACGATGATTTGTTCTGTAGAGGATTAAAAAATATATATAGCTTAAAGGGGCTAATAATTTTGTTCTAAAAATGGCTTAAAAAATTAAAACTGCTTTTACATTATGCATGTTCAAATCAAGACTGAAAACACATCTGTTTAGCTGTGCCTTTACAGTATGAGCACTGTGCTACGTCCGACAGATTGCACTATTATGTTTTTCGTTTTCTTTTTCATTTTTTTATAACCTATTTTAACACATTTTAAATTGTTTTTATCTGTTTTTAATCATTTTTATTGTCTGCATTTTATGTCCTAAACTTGTCTTTTTTATTCCTGTTTATGTAAAGCACTTTGAATTGCCACTGTGTATGAAATGTGCTATATAAATAAACTATATATATATAATGTACATAAAAATATATCTGTAATATATTTGTATTTATACATATATGTAAATATACACTGCACACATGTATATTAATATTTAAATACAAACATTTATCTCATGTGATTAATTGTAATTAATCGTTTGACGGCACTAATTTAAATAACTAAATCAAAATACAAAATCTTTAAATTCACGCTTAAAGTGAAAAGGGATAAATGAGTGAAAATATACGGATACAAAAGCAGTGACATTAAAATTTACAAATATATAACAGGGTATGCGTGACGCAGTGGGTAGTACTGTCACCTCACAGCAAGAAGGTCGCTGGTTCGAGCCTCGGCTGGGTCAGTTGGCGTTTCTGTGTGAAGTTTGCATGTTCTCCCTTTGTTTGAGTGGGTTTCCTCCGGGTGCTCCGGTTTCCCCCATAGTCCTAAAGACATGGAGTACAGGTGAATTGGGTAGGCTAAATTTTCATTATCTTACAACTTATTTTATCTGTTGTATCTATTTTTATTCTTTTTTTTATAATTCTTATTATTTGTTTTTATTTTCTTACACTTGTCTCTTTTGTTCCTGTTTCTGTAAAGCACTTTGAATTGCCATGAAATGTGCTATATAAATAAACTTGCCTTGCCTAAAATGTCCATAATTTATGAGTGTGAATAAGTGTGTATGAATGTTTCCCAGAGATGGGTTGCAGCTGGAAGGGTATCCGCTGCATAAAACATATGCTGGATAAGTTGGTAATTTATTCCGTTGTGGCGACCCCGGATTATTAAAGGGACTAAGCCGAAAAGAAAATGAATGAATAACAGTATATATGACTGAAAAAGTATTTGTATATGTAAATTCACACAAAGAACTGTAAATTAACATTTCACTTGCAAATCACAGCAATGTAATATATGCAAAATAGTACATTACGTAAAAGTTATACATACAGTCAGGGATGGGCAGTATTTATGTACAATGTACTGTATGTATTTTAAATACAAATTAGTATTTTGTGATTTGTATTTGATAGGGTTCATGAAAATGGCTTAATATTTTGTATCAAAATACTTGAGTGTCTTTTATTTTTGTAGTTTAAAAATACTGTAAAATACTTTGCAAGTATTTTACATAATGACATCTTAAAAATGAAGTCTCTGATTGGTGCTTTCTCATTATTTGCCTAAGTTTAAGATCAGAACATAAAACTAATTTATTTTAAGAAGGTGGTGAATGATTGGATGGATGGAAATTATGCTTAAAGAAAGTAACAGTCAATGGGTGAGGGTATATTTAGTTGTTAAAGTCAACAACCATTGAAAACAACTTTTGAGCAATGCTAAGACCAGAAATATATAATGGCTATAGTGTACAATTCAGCATGTTTGCCTAAGAAATGTGATGTAATATGGATGATCAGAATTTTAGTGACCATTATCAGCATCAAATGGTCTAAACTATAGGACAGGGGTCACCAATCTCGTTCCTGGAGGTCCGTTGCCCTGCAAGGTTTAGCTCCAACTTGCCTGGGTGTTTCAAGTATACCTAGTAAGACCTTGATTAGGTTTTAGTTGTGTTTGATTAGGGTTGGAGCTGAAATCTGCAGGACACCGGACCTCCAGAAACAAGTTTGGTGATCACTGCTATAGGACATCATCTTCAAGACAAGACTTTCTGTAAGATTTGTGCAAAATGTATACTAAACTTAAAGAGAAACACAAGTTACCTTTGGATTACAAGTTCAACTTACATTATGCCACAACTTGGCCCTGTAGGTGAATGAAGTGGCAGAGAATATCTGTTGTTATCAAACATTGTTTACTTTACTAAGGCAGTTTAATGGAATCGATCCAATAGGCCTGTTTATGGAAGGTTTACAAAGAAATTTCATGCTACCTTTCAAAAGTATTTTGTAGTATTTTTAAAATACAATTTTATTTTGTGGCTGCTGTATTTTGTAGATTATTTTGCTACACTTAAAATATATGTATTTAGTATTTTATTTTAAAATACATTTTAGTGTATTTTTGCTCACAATCCCTGCATAAAGTCACCTTTAACATGTGATGCAAAATTGGTGAAATTCAGAATAGAAGTGAAGCAAAACGTTAGGATAAATGTGTGAATAAATAGATTCAGTAATTTAAAATACAGGAGAACTACATAGAAAAAATAGTATGTAAATATATATACATACGAATTACAAGTTTGTTTATTAAGCAGATTGTTCAATTTCAAAAATCACTGGGATATATAATAACCACATATGTAAAGTTAACAAAAATATCTTTATCTCTCAATTTTATGTATTACCTTTTTGTAAATGACTTTTCTATTGTTATAAATTATTAGTCATTTCATTTATAATGAATCCTTTTGACTTATATAATGATTTAATGTATTCTTTTAAAATATATGATTACTGCTGTTTATTTGACAAGAAAATACTAGTTTAGTTTAGATACTAAACTAGTTTACTAGTTTAGATAAATGTTCACATTTAATTTAGTGCTACTTGCAGGTTCTTTGTGATTATTAACAAAATTTGCTAGCAATCATTGAATAAAGCTGCTTAATTTATTTTCTAGTAATCTGTAGATCCTTTTATGCAAATCTGTCAGATTATGCCATTATTATTATCTTCATTAAAACTCTAACTACAGATAAGTACAGATAAGTACAAGTTACTGGATGATTTTAATTTATAGACTAAGCAAAAAGTTTGCCTGTAAAATTTTCACCAGTAATCTTTTATCAGCCGTACGGTTTGCTGCCACAGTTAAGCTGTTGTTTACAGGAGATCTGGAATGAATGAAAATGACTTACACTGACTCCCAGGTTCTTGTTTCTTCTATTTCCCTCTTGAACCCCCCGTTTGTACTAAGCAAATAATAAACCCAGGCTAAGCATGTGGAGGACAAATGTAATCCAGATCTCTGTAATCCAGTTACTGTGAGACATCCTCTCTGATCCGGATTTACAGTCACAATGAAACACTGAGGGTGTGAAATGTATGCTGCCTCAGAAGTGCTCTTCCACGCCGCATAGGGATTAAAGCTGCTTATACTGTCCTGATATTAGCACACATTAACACATTAAAAAAACAAACCTTGAGGTGTTGCCCTTCTTTCATCTTAAGGGCTTTTGGAAAAACTTCACAGGGCAAAATTGTTGCGTTTTTAAATCACAGTAGATCATTTTCTCCAGCAGGAGACGTTGATGCTCCATTAATGCCACTTATGACTGATCGCTACTTCCGTGTCATAGCTCTAGAGGGCGCTGTTGACCCGTTTTTTTCTTTTTATTCGTGGGTGGGAAAATGTGTGTGTAGGCTATGTGTGGCAAAGAGAGCGTGTCTGGAGAGATGGGGGTCAGATAAATTTTGCTAGTACAATTGTGTCGAACTGTCATCTGAGGAGGAAAGTGCTTCAATAGCGTTGAGAGAGTCTGACAGTGAAAGCCAGCTTTTCCTCGCTTTTATTGTGGCCCTCAGGGTAACATGAGTGATCATTTCTCCCAGACTGGTGGCTGACGTGTCACAAAAAAGGTGTCTCACACAAGCCGCATCGTCTGGGATTGATTGGCCCTCTCCTCTGTAAAACACAAGGTAACCGGATTTCGATTGGACTGTATTTATTTGGTCTTATTGGGAATTGAATTTGTCCCCATGTTCTGAGAAGGGATAATCAGAAAGTAAATAGCAGAGACTTGGGCTCGCTGTCACGCTCTTACTTTTATTTTTGAAAGTCAATATCCGTCCACTTGTTTAAAGTCTGAGGTGTTCGTTTGCGGACAACAATGTACTTAAAAAGGAAAAGTTTTGACTTTGTGTTTTTTAGAAAAGTTTAACGTGCATATGACTATGAATCAAAATGAAACCTGTTCACAGATACACAGACTTAAAGGGCACATATTTTATCCTTTTATAAGATTTAAGATACGTTTTTATGTCTCCAGGATGTGTCTGTAAAGTTTCAGCTCAAAACACCCATCATATTATTTATTATACTTTTCAGAATATTGGTATAAGAGTGTCTCCGTCTCGGCAGCATCAGATAAACAGCACAGTGACAGACATGAAGGAAAAAGATCTCACATGACGTTTGCGAGAAATATTACAGTGAAAATTTTCCCAATGATTATTTGATGTATTTGTTGTGGAGTTAATTCACACACAATGTCCTTACAAAATTCACGCACACACACAACGCATGCGTGAGTTTAACTTTGCACTGTTTTTGCACGGCAAATGTGACTTTTAGACATATCATTACTAAGATTGAAGATGTTACTAGTTACCCAGTAGGTAGTGCTGTTGCCTCACACGAAGAAGGTCGCTTGTTCGCACCTCAGCTCAGCTTGGCTCAGTTGGCGTTTCTGTGTCGAATTTGCATGTTCTCCCTGTCTGCTTGGGTTTTGTCCGGGTGCTCCGTTTTCCCCTAAAGTCCAAAGACATGTGGTATAGGTCAATAAGGCAGGCTAAATTGTCTGTAGTGTATAAGTGTGTGTATAAATGAGTGTTTGTGGATGTTTCCCAGAGATGGGTTGCCGCTGCGTAAAAACGTGCTGGATAAGTTGGTGGTTCATTCCGCTGTGGTGATCCCGGAATAAAAAAGGGACTAAGCCGAAAAGAAAATGAATGAATGAATGAATGTGACCAAAAAATATATAAATAAGGGCAGTGGCTTAGAAGTTAGCACTGTCTCGGCCGGGCTAGTTGGCAATTCTGTGTGGAGTTTGCATGTTCTCTCCGTGTTGGTGTGGGTTTCCTCTGGGTGCTCTGGCTTTGCCCACAATCCAAAGACATGTGCAATAGGTGAATTAAATAAACTAGCTTGTTAAGAGCAATTTTAAAAGCAATTTTACTGGCCACGCAATGGATGAAAACACAATGAACAGATACTTTTCCAACTCATTATCTGCAATAGATGTTTTTTTCAATGTTTTTTTTTACAGTTCATCCAGAGATCATCTTCAAGACAGGACTTTATGTATACAATTTTTACAAAATATATACTAAAGTGAAAGAGAACTAAATGTTTATGAATACTTATTCATGTACAGTAGAGGTGAATGGTGTGGCAGAGAAGCTGACTTAGGGCCTACTCACACTATGCTATCCGAACCGTGCCCAGGCCCGTTTCCCAGATCGTTTGAGAAGTGTGAGTGCGCTGAATCGGGCTCAGGCATGGTTCACTTGGTCGGCCCTTGCCCGGTTGGAAGGGGTGGGCCTGAGCGCGGTACACTTGGGCTTATTAATTATTCACTACTGAACAGCGCAGCATCAATGATGTAAGCTTGCCCAGGCCCGATTGTAGTGTGAGTGCTGGCCGTTGGGAGAGATGGGAGGGAGGGACAAGTGTGCTTTGGCCCGGTTCGAGGCAACTGTAGTGTGAGTACGGCCTTAAACTTGCTCAGAAACTTGCCGTTGCTGTCAGACATTGTTTACTCCACTAGATCACTTTAATGGTAAGAGGATTGATTGAATAGGCCTGTCGATAGAAGGCTTGTGAAGAAATGTCATGCTCCCTTGTAAAAGTATTTTGCACTATTTTTCAAAATACAAAATACAGTGTTTTATTTTGACACTTGTTGTTGTGGCTGCTGTATTTTGTAGTTTACTTTGATACAAGTAAAACTGAGGTATTTTGTATTTTATTTTAAAATACTTTTTAATGTATTTTTGCCCGTCCCTGATTATATGTGTTACTATGGAGACATGTTATAACCGCACTCCTACCTCATGTTGCAGTGGGCCTCAAAATGGGAGGGATTTGGATCCTCTTTTATTGTCAGGAAATTAAAAAAAAGAGACTTATCAAATTTATATCAATCCAGTATGACTGTGGACACACTTTACCTACACACAGTTCTGTCCAAACAGCCTACAAAAGATGATTTTCTTCACAGGTGCCCTTTAAAACTGTCGATTATATATGCATTGCAGGCTAGTTGATTTAGTTAATTATAAAAATGATGAAAAAAGGTATGCTTTGCTTACATATGGTCTTGTTGTTTGCCATTTTGGGGATAAAGAACTTATTTATGAACAACACAAAATATGCATGTGTATAGTGTTGTCTTATTTTTGTGTTTGTATTGTTTCTACTTTGATAAAAAAAAATTTAAAACTACTATTCATGAAACCATTTTGAATAGACTATGTTTTCAAGTTTTTCATTTGAAGTTTAAAACTTGCAGGGCTAAGTGTATCCTTAATTACAAATCCCACAATGAACGTGTAAACATTTACTGTCCAAGAAAGAGAAGAATAATCTTTTGATGACCTTTTTGGTTGACCTTTTGCGACAACTTGTAACCAAAAGTGGGTCGTATGTTAGACTATTAAAGGCTGTCATGAATTATAATATTTAAACATCAAAATAGTCATACACAAAAAGCAAATTAAATTGTTTTAACAACTTGATCTAATTGCTGAGTTGATGATGAGCAAAACTAATTGCTGAGTTGATGATTACTGTCAGTAATGTAAATTCTGCAATTTGCGATTTTTTGCAATTTTGCATTTTAACTCGATTACGAATAGTGAATGATTTAAAAATTTTTTTGCCCTCGTAGTTCATTGACAGGTCTTGTACAGTAAATATTCTCACATATTACAAGTGAGAGATTTCTGAATGAAGGTTGCATTACATGATTTGAAGAAAATCAAGTACAACACAAACTATCTACTATCAATGATTATTAATTGAACATTAATGCTGAATTGCCAATGCTGACATTAAATCACACATTGCCTGAAACAAAAAGTCACTTTTTTCTTATAATATATATTAGAAGTAAAAACAAGCAGTATCTCCTATAAATATAATAACTCTTGTATATCCTGCAAATAATATTTTAAACAGTGAATTTCTTGAATCTTCTGTAAACAAATCTTTTAATGTAAATAATAATTTTAATGTAATAGAAAATATTCCGTCTCAAGACATCTTTGGCGCAGCATCCCATCAATGTAGTGCAAAGTAAGGCTCAAGAATGGGTCCATCATCCTACTTGACCAGAGACCAGATGTGGCTGCAAAGTGGCCACAGAAGTATCAGCCACAGCCTTTAACAGAGCGGGGTCATGCGACTCCACACGCAGAAAAGTTATTTAAAAAGATCATCCTGGAAATATTAGATTAAATATACACTTAAAAAAATATATTTTTTTGCTAATTCAAACTACTTATTTAAAATGAGCTGAAACAACACAATTCTTGAGATTTCATTGGGACAACTTAATTTTTTTATGTTCAATCTACACACATTTGTTAAAATGAAACCCTGCATTTTTTACAGTGTAGGTTCTAAATGTCGATTTCGATTACTTTTCGATTAATCACCCAGCTCTAGTTCATCTTGACTTTTATGACGTTTTAATTTTTCACCCTGAAATTCAGTTTTATTCTTTGCCAAATTAAACGTTGCTTCCATAATTCCATTTTCTCTCATTATAACTTTACTGGACTCCATTGGTTAATCTATTATTGTTAAAGTTGAAATAAGATGTTTAATGAACTTCGTTTGAATCAAGTAAATTTTAATAATTTATAAATCTTCTTAATATTATAACTTTCAGATATAATACAATTCATTCTTCTGTGCAGTAGTAATATAGGCATGTCTTTTTACCACAATATCTTCAAGTTCTAACTTTTAAAAATAAAACAGTAAAAAGCTGGTAAAGTCACTATCATGTCAGCTCTGGAGATTAAGTCCTCAATTAATAAAATCAAAAATTAATACACACAGAGACATGAAGAACATGCAGACTTCATATGTAAATAGCCCTTTTGCTGTAAAATATATTGCGATTAGACCTTAGACTTAAAGTTTAAATAATATATTTTTATGAATATTTGAACAGTTTTTGTTCACAAAGTGAATAAAACAGCACTCAGCCCCATTAAAAATGTACATATAAATAAATCCACAGCTCAAAAATGCAAACCATT